TCCAATGATCACCCCTCCCCATGGTCCACAAGATCGCCCAGGGGCCCTCCCCCCTGGTCTGTGGGACTGGTTGGGGGGGGGGGGGGGGGGGGCATGTGCCCCCCGACTAAGGTGGCACCAGTCGTCCCAAGGTCCAAAATCCCAGACCAATTGCTCTTCATGCCTAATGCCTGTAAGAGGTAATGTTTTAGTCTGTTTACATTTGTCCACTTTAAAAAAAATCCTTCCTTCAACCTAAAAATGGCATCAATCAGGAAATTTAATATTTTTAGTGACATGATTTTACTTCACCTGACAAAAAAATATTAACTTTACTTTTCTAAGAAAGGACATGTGTACTGTGCACAGTGAAATGCAGATACAATTCCCCAAAAGGAATCATCCATTTATTCCACTGACAATCTGAACAAAATCTACCATTTGTGAATCTTTACAACATTACTAAAAACATGTTGTACCCATTTAGCACCTTTAATGCCAAGGGATCCTAATTCATTTTTCAAATTATCATTTGCAACCAATACAGAAATGCAGCTGATTCTATACGGGAGTGATATAGTTGATTGACAGTTAAGTGTGTCTACATGAGATGCTTAATGCACCAATAAATTAATTCTACTGAGCACTAGCACATCACAGCAAAAGCTGTGATAATGTGCAGTAGAATTAGTCTATTGCACATTAAGTGCCATAAAAAGACCATGTGCCAGTACTACTGTGCATTTAGTTAGTATCTCATATCAGAGGTACTAAACTTAATGCACAGTAACAATGGCACATTAATATATGTGCAGATGTGCCAAGTGCACAGTAACCCTCTCACTATAATTAACGAAAAGGGAAAAATCTATCTGAATTCAGAGAATCCAATTCAATATCCAACTGAAACTGCAGCATGGAGCTAGCCAGAATGAATGTGTGTGTGTGACCTGAAAGCTGCCACTGACACCATCTTCTTTATTTGTGAAAAGTGGCACATGCATCTTCAACTGAGCTATTTAGATTTGTATCCAAAAATAAAAGAGGCTGCCAGTGGCCTAACTGCTTCCAGCTGGCCTACAGTTACCCTTATGGTTATGGTTATCTGCCTAAAACCAGCAGCTTTTGTCAGTTCCCAGAAGGCTACTTAATAGCATGGTATCCTGTTCAGGAATAGGACCCTGCCTGCCGGCTTGTGGTTTTCTGGCTCCTGTCTGCTAGTTCCTGGTTCTTGCCTGCTCTTTCCTTGTTCCTGTCTTCAGCCTAGGTCCCTGCTTCCTGATTTGCTGGTTCCTGACCCCTTTGCTTCAGTCAGGATCCATGCTTCTGATCCCCTGGTTTGTGATTTTCTTGGCACCCTATGCTTTCTGGCCTTGACTACACCCTGCAGACCTCCACAAGATTTCATAGATTTCATAGATTTCATAGACATTAGGGCTGGAAGGGACCTCGGAAGATCATCGAGTCCAGCCCCCTGCCCAAAGGGCAGGAAGTCAGCTGGGGTCATAGGATCCCAGCAAGATGAGCATCCAGTTTCATCTTGAAGGTGTTCAATGAAGGCGCTTGAACCACCTCCGGTGGCAGGCTGTTCCAGACCTTGGGGGCTCGGACAGTAAAAAAATTCTTCCTTATGTCCAGCCTGAAACGATCTTGAAGTAGTTTGTGACCATTCGACCTCGTCATCCCTTGGGGCGCTCTGGTGAACAAACGTTCCCCCAGATACTGGTGGTCACCCCTGATAAACTTGTAGGTGGCCATCAGATCACCCCTGAGCCTGCGCTTTTTCAGGCTAAAGAGCCCCAGGGCTCTCAGCCTGTCATCATAGGGTCTGCTTCCCTGACCTCTGATCATGCGCGTGGCTCTTCTCTGGACTCTCTCAAGCTTCTCCACATCCTTTTTGAATTGTGGAGCCCAAAACTGGACACAGTACTCCAGCTGCGGCCTCACTAAGGCCGAGTACAGGGGGAGAATGACGTCCCGGGATTTGCTTGAGAAGCATCTATGGATGCAAGCCAGCGTTTTGGTCGCTTTACTAGCCGCCGCATCGCATTGCAGGCTCATGTTCATCTTGTGGTCAATGATGACCCCCAAGTCTCTTTCTTCCATAGTGCTAGCCAAAGAGGCTGCCTTTAGACGAAAGGGAACCTCCCTATGCCGCCTACTTGGAGGATTCAGGCAGGGAAGAAGCAGCACTACCACAAGAGCACCTCTGTCCACTTCTGCTGCTGTCTGCAGGAAAGTCTGCATGTTCAATGAATATGAACTGTGAGGATCTGAGAGTTTATGTTTCATCTGACTGAAAGCACTTCTAATACATGCCAGCATAGTCACCTAATTGCACCAGGCAACTGAATAAATAGACTTGAAAGCTAAGGTGGTACCTACTGAAGCACCAAACTTCTTCCTCCACCATCATATGCTTCTCTTGGAGGTCTTCCATCCAAGTAGAGTTTTGTCTCAATACTTGAACAAAATGATGAACTTGCAGTCTGAATGGTATAGCTCTTTCTTATACCTTTTCATAAATTTTCTATACATGCCCAGACTCTGAATTATTCCTAACTGGACATTTCTTAAATATTGTTTTCAAATATAAATATGGATTGAAGGTGGACATTTATTGCCCACATGTCAAAACTTCTGATAGGGTTTTTTTTTCCTTAATAACATAATAAAATTAGACCATACCTGGATATTCTTAGTTACCCGAAACAAGTACATATAAAGTTTGGTAAACACTGGAAATATCTGAATTTTTATAAAACTTATTTTCTAAACTAGTTACTATTAATAAATAAGTGCTGAAAATAATAAAGTGGGTTAAGTGCATGGTTTACATACTCATCAGCAGACTACAAAGACCTATTATATGACTAACCTAAAACAGGAAAATCAGGACAAATATCTTGTTTTGAGGGGGACGGTGTGTGTGTGGGTGTGTGTGTGTGTGTGTGCGCGTGTGTGTGTGTGCACGCGCACACAGACACACGTGTGCACACACATGTGCATGCACATGTGTGCGTAACCATACACATGGCAGCAAAAAGAATGTTTTTATCTATGCATTTTAAAATAGTTCATTAAGGTACATACAGCTCCAAAAGCTACGGAGAGCATAGTCTGCATCCGGGCATCTTCTATTGAACTCAGTAGCCCCTTTTTACTAAGAAGAGCTCTTCCAGCAAGGGTCCAGAATCTCACATGCTTTACTCCCACTGAAACAAACTGTGTGTCTGAATCTGGTCTAAATTCTGCTACAAATATACGCTGGTTATGACCTGCTCGGCTGGCAATTTTGGCACCTGTCAAAAAAATAGGAGATTTTGAACTTGTGACAAATATACATTCTTTCTAGAACAAAAAACTTTTTACTTTGGAGTGTGATTGAGCTGTTCAGGCCCACAACTGTCAAAAAGGCACCCCAAACCCAAACTGCTTTCCCTGTATGTGGCCTGGAATTGCATACACAAACATTTTTTAAGCCCTGGAATAACATAAACAAACACATACATGTACCAGAGTAGGGAAAAAGTCAAAGCTAGAGAAACAGATACCAGAAATGTTGGATAAGAGAAATGAAATGAGACTTCAGAGGAATAGTGGAATATGATCCATCAATCAAGATACTATCTGTTGAAGGTCTGTTTATAAGCTCCAATTTCACAAGGTGCATAAGGGAGTTAGGAGCTCAATTCCCATTACATTTCAATGGGAGTTGAAAGCCTACCTACCTGAGGCTTCTCTGAAAATCCCAGCAGTTGCACCTACACAAAATATGTAATGTGTACCAGATAGAACGTCTTTAAAAAAAAAAAAAAGCCTGCAGAACAGCTCTTATTTTTTTCTCAGTACAAAATGCAGAAACTGATTTTGCTGGATGAGTTATAAACAGGGATCCAGGTTTTCCATTTCCCACAGAAAAACGGAGAAAACCACAGATTCCCTGTTTTTATCAGAGAAAATGCGGATTTCCCTTTTTAGCAGAGAAATCCGTGGATTCTCCGCTTTTGCAAAGAGCTCTTGCAGGCTGGAACAAGCCTGCAAGAGCTGATTGCAGAAAGGGCGGGAAATCCCCAGCCCTGCCTGGAGGGGGAGGGAGCGGTAGAAAGGTAGGGCCTGAGCCTCTGAGTCAGCCAAGGCCAGGCTCAGGCTCAGGCTCAGGCTCGCCCTTCGCCCCTGGATCCTAGAGGTAAGTGGGTCTTGTGGGCTGTGGGGCAGGGCTGGGGAAGGTGGCTGGGGGCTGAGGGAGCGGGGGGGGCTGCCGGCCCCAGATGGCACACTGCAGCCAGGTGCAGGGCCGGG